GAGTGCTTGTTTAGTAAAGCTAGACATGTATTTAATGAAAAACGTGGTTGTTTAAATGATGATAATTTAGAAAAAAATTTATTATTAAAGGCTAATTTAATTATAAATAAATATATTCTAATTGTTATACTTATATTACATTATTCAATTACAAAAAATTTATACCATATTTATTTATTTTTTATATTAGTTGATTTTGTATCCATCAGAAATTTAAATAAGAAAAGGATCGTGATCGCGATCCTTTTTAAAAAAAGGTCGATCCTGGATTTCAATCCTCTTTTTCCAAAAGATCGTGATCGGGATTCGATCTTTTTAAAAGGATCGATTAACAAGCCTGCTAATTCTATATAATAGAGGAATATCAACTATATATCTACTTACTTTTTATAAATAAATTCCTTATACTTGTTTAGAATAAATTATTATCATGCGTTTGTATTAATGTATATACAAGTAATTTATTATATTTTATATAAACTAATAAAAATATATTTCATATTTGTTCCAGGCTTATTTTTTTTATTAAAATTAATCTCCTATCTTGTAAAAATATTTTATGACTATATATAGACTAAGGTAATCAGGCCAAAGACCGGGTAAAAGTGGGCCGAAGGCCCGCCTAAAATAGAGTCTGGGGGCGAAGCTCCCCACTAATTTTTTAATTCTCCCTCACTCCTTAGGAAAATCCTGGCTACTCCTATGCTACAGTCTGACCTAATAGTGGTATATTGGTACCTGTATAGCTTTTAAGTTTTAGCATGCAATTTAAGTTTATTTTCCCAATCTATTTCGTTAATTATACTGACCCCAGCTCCAGTATCCACTTCTATTCTTATATCGCTGTTATTTCTGGCATTCTCTACATTTTTCGACCCATGTTATATCTTGGTTTATATTAGGCCATCACGCATATTGTCGTGCCCTCATCTTCATTTTTTCCATTCCGATATGTCCTTGATGTATCATGTCCAACACGTTGTTTCGGTATTGTTTTGGTATTATCATTTTAGTTCTCCTTAATAAAAAACATCTCTCTGTTGTAATTTCCTCTCTCCTTTGACTATACTCCTTTAAACATGATAGTTTATTGGCCATCCATCTATTGTATATCTGTATTGTTTAGAAAGTATATCATCTCGCATTGTTTCTCTTTCAATTTCGCTTGCATTATAAGGTGTTTCTCCCACCTGTATTTGATTTAGCGTTTCTTCTTTTGATATTGGAGTTCCCTTTATGGGTAATCTAGATAGCACATCAACATTTGCTATTTATCTACTTCTTTTGACTTCTATTTCATATTGGTAACCTGCTAATAATAAAGCCCATCTTTGTATTCTGGCAGTAGATGTTGTTTGTATATCTTTTCTTGGATGAAATAAACTCATTAATGGCTTGTGGTCTGTTTGTAATGTGAACTTTTTACCATATATAAATTCTTTGAATTTTGTGACCCCAAATATGATGGCCAGAGCTTCTCTTTCTATTTTGCTATAATTTTTTTCAGTTGCATTTAGCGTTCTTGAGGCGAATGCAATGAGTCTCTCCTTACCCCCTTCTTTTTGTGATATAAAAGGCCCAAATTCCTATGACTGATGCATCTGTTGCTAATATAATGGGTAATTTTGAATCATAATGTTGTAATAATGGAGTACTACAATTATATTTTACTTTTATGAAAATAAATAATTAAAATTACTCATTTTATAAAAATTATATTTGATATATAATATTATTTAGTAATTTTATGGATCTATTGTTAATAATTATAATACATTTCTTGTCTTAAGACTTATCTTTGACTTATATTCCATTTCTTTAAAAACATTTTAGTTTATCTTTTTTTATATATAAATGCTTTTTTCCAAAAATGTATAAATTATGATGAATAGTTTTATAAAAAAATATCAACTTTTACATTCTTTGTTTCAAATTATTGTTTAACCCTTCAATACTCTGTAAGGTATATGAAACCCCAGGCATGCTAGAAATAATATTACATAAAAACGGTTAAATATTATGATCTGGATTCTTCAGTAGCTTCATCATAGAATCTATTTTCCAAATTTCATAAATTTTGGATTAGTTTTTAAGATATAAGCATTTTGTGACTGATTGGGGTTTGTGAGATTCCACCAGAGTAAATTTGTATGTTGTATATTTTTTTTATATTTGAATGTATTAGTGTAATTTTTTTTATGTTGAAGAATAAAGATCCATATTATGAAATATGATGGATAAGTTATTTTTTTAATTTTATATTTGAAATTTAAAATAAGTAAGCTTTAAAAATTTTTGGCACAAATTATAATTATCCTCATCATCTTTAATCTAGTCTTAAGAAATAAAAATATTTAAATATTTTATCAAGCTTAAGGTTAGATCTATCTTATATCCAAATATCAAAAATAATAAATATTACTGGAGATATATACATTTGAAATTGTGGTCTATTAAACCCCATCCGAGTACTAAGGTCATTTTTTTCACCGGAGTATTAAAGGGTTAAGATATATGCATACATTTGTGGGGGTCAGGAAGTGGGGGAGACCTAAAGGGGATATTTTTTATTAGCTTAAAATGATATTCACAAAAGGTGAGGGATTTCTCCTTGTTCCCCCTCCTTGGCTACGCCTATGCATCTAGGTTTATCATAAAATACTTGTTTAAGTTAATCAACTTCTTTAATTTTAACTTCAATCCTCTATTCAAAGATATTGTCATTGGTGGTGTCTTTATGTTATCGATGCTAATTTTTAATTAAAACTTGGCACAGCATTTCTATGTTGAAAGCTAATATCCAAGGTAATGCACATAAGGGAATCTTGTTCGTGTCTGTTATAATCACTGGTAATATCTTTGACCTTGCTCTGATTTGTGCATGAACATTAGTCTCTCCTTTTATATCTAAAGAATGATTTCCATAAGTTGCGAGTGAATCGGTTAAGTTGATATCTGGTGGCCCTCTTTTTCTCCAAATATCTTTCCCAAATAGTAATATTTGAGAACCAATATCAAAATCAACATTTAAGCCTCTGCCTTTAACTACTAGTTTAGACTCGGTTGTTTCTTTTGACAGTTCCTATGTTATTAAGCGAATCGTCGAATTCGGATACCTTCTCAACATAATTTAACGATCTGACTTAACAACATCTGGAATAATGACCTATCTTGTTGCATTTGAAAAAAATCTCCTTAAAAGAAGAACATCTATCGCTTCAGTCACATTCTGTAAGAATGTAAACATCTATTTTACTCATTTTATATATAATTTTATTTTTTCTCAAAACTATTATTAATGTAATATATAATAATTATTATATTTCTTACTAGAATCATTATTACTTCTTATGTTATACCCGTTATTTAAATCAAAATTTTGTTTTGATATCTTAGCTACTTTTGTGTTTAACTTCTTATCATTTCTTTATCTGACGGATTCAGTATAAATCCGAAAGAAATGTCTATCGCTTCTTTCTTTACACCCTTAAGATATTACGCCTGAATATCTCTGTGAAAATAAGGTAGATTCATGCCAGACACTAATTTATCCCACATTTTTGTTTCAAAGATATTAACATATTTACCATATTGAGCCCCCAGTGAAGTCAGTTTATTAACGAATTCTATCAAGTTCCTTCTGTCCTTTTAAGTACGTGAACAGGGAGGGGGGGGGGTAGGAATAGTTTGTTCAATTTTTTTGAGGGGGGGGGTAGGGGGTAGAATAAATTTTTTGGGAGGTTATCTATTAAATATTGATCAAATAGGACAAAATTTACTACTGTAAAAATTAATACTTTTATTATAGAACCTATTATAATAAAATTCATCAACCAAATATATATTGCAAACAATCATAGAAATTATTTTCCAAATAAAACTTTCTAATATCCTTTCAAATATAATTTAAAAGGTTTAGACATTTCTAGCAAGCTCATAATGTTATAATAATGAATTCATTGTAAATGATGGGAGTTTTAATTGAATTTATTATCTAAAAATAACTCCTTTATATTCACAAAATGTCGATAGTTGGTTGTGGAGATAAAATGATTAAGTTATTCTTTTTAAATTTTCTGAAAGAGTATCTTTATAAAAAGGTGAAATTAAAAATAAGAAAACATAAAAAAATTTAGGGGGGTAGGCATAGGTTTTTGAAGGGGGTTTGCATCCAGTGAAAATCTTGTCATGTAAACGCTGTCCCTACGGGTTGCAAAAACACTTTGTAAAATTTTGTAGGTTATCTCGCATATTCTTTTAATGTCCACAAATGTGAGATTACAAAGTTTCATTTGGAAGGCCTGTTTTTGAAATTTTCTATATTGCTAAAATAAGATAAAAACAAATCTTTTAATTCCGTGTCTGTCGAAATATATTTTTTAAAATTAGTATAAACATTCCCAAATTTAAAAAAACGAATGATATCATAATTTATTTCATATTTTTTTAATTTGATGTGACTAAAATTATAATCAACTCTCACTTATCACCCAGAATATTGACAAATACTTATTTGTAATTTTTACATAATAATAAAGATAAAATGTTTATTTCTAACATTTATATGATTGATCTATAATTGAATGTTATTCTCCTTTTAATAGGCTGATATGGATTCCTTTTAATTTATCTATAGATTTAAACTTGCATTCAGATATTATGTCATTTTTCTTTTAAACAAATAAATGTTTTAATATAGTTGTCAATGATTTAAGTTAAATAATTCTTCTATTAGTGTTATAATAAATATTCTTATGAAAATTTTAATATAATAAAAAGTTGCATGAAAAACTTTGGTATAGATTGAATATAATTACCAATAAAAACGAAAGAAAGATTTCAATAAATTTACTATTCGGCCTCTTGACATTAAACTAAACAAAATAGCATAGCATGTTGCTGCTAAAGCTGTTTAATATGCAAATTGATTTTACAACATATTTATTATTATATACTATCATGTTTATGAACATTATTAAAACTTTTATGGTGTACGCATTACCAACTCAAATCTCAATATTTATTCCACTCACTTCAGATGCTTTAAATTATACAAAATTATTCAAATACAAAATTGCAAATTTGAAGGATCAAAATTTGAAATCAAAATCTCCATTATTAAATAACTCAATTTATGAAAATTCTTATTTGATGAATACATCTACAATCTGGTATAAAGAAACTATAAATAAGTTTATAAAAACTGGAGCTTTAAATAGGATCATGTATATTCTTATTGGCATGACCTCTATAGTTCTTTTATATTTTCTTATCAAAGCTATCAGGTAAAATAAAGTTAAATAATGTTTGACAAATATGAATATTATTCCTTATCTTACTAAATTTACATATTAACAAATATAAATACTTATTTTTATATTTATTTTAAATCAAAAATTTGATTAAGCTTTTAAATTCAATATTTAAATTTTTTTGATAGAATAAAAAAGCAAAAAGTTAAAAAATATGGCATATTAAATGGTGGTGATCTTGATTATGATGAGGAATGGGGTGATAATTGGCTTAGAAGTGATGATAATTCTCTCAAAAAACATTATGAAAATGATGATAATGATTTAAACAGTAAAAATCAAAACAAAAGTAAATCACATCTTTTTGTTAAAACCAAACCTTCCAATAATAAGCGATCTGAATATTCATTGCTCAATAATAAATGGGAAATGACACCACTAGACAAATTTGATCCTGATATGCCTGTTAGTGAAGATGATGATGGAAGTGATTTGGATTTATTTAAAGCTTCTCCTGCAAAATCAATTATAAAAAATGGGAAACTTGAAAACCAAGAAAGCAACAATGTTGCAACTAAACAAACATCTTATAAAAGTACCACCAATGCTATTAATTTTAAATGATGTTGGATTAAATTATATCAGTAAGTAATTAATATAAGTGATCATCCTAAATCTGTAATATCATTTTGTAAAAATTATTTTTTTAAAAATATTATTGCATTTTTGTATTTGGTGCAATATGGACATAATTTTTTTATTTTTTGTTATACTCCAATTATATAATGGATAATTAAATATTTATAGCAATTAAATTTTACATGTTACTTTTTTTCTGTTAATATTAGTGTTGTTAAACAGCTCATTTTCAGCTTTTTAAAAATGGCTAACTCAATAATTTATTTGGAAAAATATTATGCAAGCCTTAAGATTTTACTCATAGGTGGCACACAGGTTTGAACATCTATTAACAAAATCTCGAGGCTTAGACAATATTTTTCTGACTAAAATATTGAGTTAGCCATTTTTACACTGTAAAATTATTATATTATATTTTAAAATAAAACATTAAAATGTATTTAAGGTTTATAATTGTTTATATATTGCATCTTCTTTCTTTTCCAAAAAATCTGAGATATAATTATTTTAATTGCATTCTAAAATTATCTTCTTTTTTGTCTTATTTTTCTTTATACAACTCATTTATATTCTAGTTCAAATGTTTTGTTTTTTCTCCTTCAAAAAACCTGTGTAAACATATAAATTACAAATATTGAAATTTATAATTTTAATAATAAGTAAAACATATTTATTGATTTTATTCTAATGAAACTTTTTACTGTCTTGTTTATTTTAAATGAAAAATGATTATGCAAAATTATAATAATTGATAATACAACACTAAGGTAATAAGCTCAAATTTATGTAATAGTCGGAAAAATTTTGTATTGCAAAATTTTATATAATTATGATTTGAAATTTTAAAAAAATCATTCCACAAATTGTAAATTATTGTCATATATATTATTATGTTAAAAAAGGAAGTAATTTATACTATAACTTATAATTATATTGATCAATAAAATTATCAAAAATTATATTATCTTGGCTGTCAAGAAAGCGGGATTTGACATTGGAATCAAAACCTAAATATAAAATAAAAATAAATATATACTAAAATTATAGTTGAATCCTTTATTAAATAAATATAATTAAATCAAATAAATGAAAAATTAAAAATTAATATAAAAAATGAAAATTAAAAAGTAAATTTAAGTTAAAAATAATAATTTAATCATCCATTTTCGCATCATAATTTCTCCATTATATATCCTTTTTCTTTAATCAACATTTGCATAGTCTCAATTTGTATCGAAATTTAATTCTTTTTTCTTGAGTAGATTTGAATATCTTTCGGCTTCGTAATTTTGTTTAAAAGTAATTTGCCTGTCTGGCGTTTTTCTTAATCTAGTAAATTTGCATGTTACCCCAATTACAACACCCTTCCACTTAGATTAGTTCCACCATTCTGCGAATGACCTCCTTTCTTCCGATTTTGACTTTACTGATCTTGTTTCCCTACCGAATCTATTCGTCTTAATCTTTAATGTCTTCTAGTTTCTAACGACGGCGGTCTATTGTCTAATATTCTTCACTTCTAAGGACTGTTTGTATCCGATTACACTCTGAAATTCTTGATTCCTTCTGTTTCTTGTCAACCCCTTGTAAACGATTATCTCTTGATCTCTATAGGCCATTGATGAACTCGATACTTCTGTTATCATAATTCCCGATACATTCTTCTAGCTCTTTTAATTATATTTCGTTTTAATCCCAAATTATCCTAGTCTTTGCTTGTTTCTAACGGTTTCTAGTAACTAATGACGGTAAACGACTAACGATAATTTGTCTGCGAGTAACGATTGTTTCCACGACTTCTTGTTTCTAAGATCATAGATTTTTTATCCTATACTAAAGTTTTGATAAGCAATTGGCTATAATTTGTCAACGATTAACGATAGCATCCTGGTCTTGACCACTTGTTCTACCTAGTCGCTTGTCAAGATATCCACGTTGCCTTAAGATCTCTTATACGATAATGATTACTTGTATCTTTTGATCCAAAATAAAAATCCGATCTCTAATTGAGCTCGATTGCGGCATATATTTTCTAATGACGAAAAGCCGTTTCTCTTTATAAAGATTTTGGTTAATCAACAACCTGATATTTTGCTAAATATTATCAACTTAAATAACAGTTAAACGTATATCTTTAATAAAAATTTATAACGAATTTCTTTTAGCTACATCGATCACTTGTACGTATAACGATCTCTTGTGACGAATTCTTTTTAGCTAAATGACTAATTCTATTCTTTTCCGAAATAAGACCATTAATATTGATACCATTGTTTTATTGCACTCCTTCTTTGTCTTAGTGTCGATACTCTTTTCATACATCCCCTTCCCCTTTATTTAGAATTTCTTTTCAGAGTTAATTAGACTGAATTGTTGGAATTGCCCTGTCGCCTCAATCTCCAACATCATTGTAACATTTTGAAAAGTTATTTAGACTGAATATGTCCATAGAACATAATGTTTCGGCCCACAAATGTAGTGGTTGAGAGAATTTAGAGCATAAAATAAATAGTATAAATAAACTACTAATACTTTATTAATTAATATAAATACTAATTTCATAATCATAATTAAAATAAGAAATTAAAATAATATAAAAAAATTAAAAATTAAGTTCGTAAAATCATAATTTAATCATCCATTTTCGCATCATAATTTCTCAATTATATATCCTTTTTCTTTAATTAACATTTGCATAGTCTCAATCTGTATCGAAATTTAATTCTTTTTTTCTTGAGTAGATTTGAATATCTTTCGGCTTCGTAATTTTGTTTAAAAGTAATTTACCTGTCTGGCGTTTTTCTTAATCTAGTAAATTTGCATGTTGCCCCAATTACAACATTGGCAAATGAGTTTAATTTGTTTTAGTAGTCAGTGATGAATTTTAAAGATTAAATGTACAAATTTTGAGAGGGAAGAGAAATTTTAATTTTTTAGATCTTTCCCAGTGAGTGCTTAGTTATTTATAAGACAACCTTATATTCAAACATAATTTTTTTTTATACTCAGTATTTCATTATTTATGGTACAAAATATTAAATAGTGAATCTGCTACTGAAATGATGATATCAAATAAATTAGTTTTTAAATAAGGAATATTATAATGAAATTCTTGAATAACATACTATGATATTATAATGAAATTCTTGAATAACATACTATGGTCAACCCTGATATTTGTTGATTGGCCCATAAAATTTTAAAGTAGTATTGAAATTCACAAAATCCACTTTGGACACAATGTATAAATGAAAGAATCATTTTTTTACTTTGGACCCACCCTATCTCACCTTAGATAAAGCTTTTATTCCAATTTTATTTTATAGATTATGCTACACATTGATATTAAGTTTGTTTATTAGACCCAATTTTTAACCTTTTTTTGAAAAGATCTTGCTACTTTCTCCCCTATATTATAGACTAATAAATTTTCCAAAAAATACTATTAAAATATAATAAAAGATTCTCTTATGTTAAATTATAAATAATTAATTTTATCCAATAAAAATAATTACTGATACTTATTAATCCCTACAAGGTATCGAAAGCTTCAAACTAGTGTTGTTAAACGACTGAGTCGAGTCGACTCAGTCGAAAACTGAGTCTAAGTTTTGGGTCGAAAAAATCGACCCAAACTGACTTGAGTTATGAACTCTAGTCGTGAACTCAAATCGACTCTAGACGTGAACTCAAGTCGTGAACTCAAATAGACTCAAGTCGTGATTTCAAATTAGTTTTTATTATTAATTAACAATACAATTATTTTTTTTAATTTAGACTTCCAACTTGAGTAAGTCGTGAATAGAAATTACAAGCATTAATTATTATTTATTTATTTTTAGTAAAATAATTTATTTTATTTATTATATTTAAAAGAAATGATATAATTTAATATTTTTTATTTTATAATATATTATGAAAATGAATATTTATTTGATATTTTTTAATAAAAAAATGATAAGCTGCAATGTAAGTTAAGTAATATCATTTTTTGTTACAATTAATTAGTGATTTTCACGCCCAAATTTTAAGCAAAATTTGATTTGATTTGAATTTTAAATGATTTTTTCTTTTTTGTTAATAAACTTTTTTATTAATTCTTTTGTAAATTTTATTTAAATAAATAATTTTTTAGTCGAAATCTTTTATTTATATAGGTTTATTTTTATCATTTTTGTAAAATTATCTATTTTTTTAGTATATAAGAACTAGTTTAAATAATTTATTTTTAAATATTTATATTAAACTTTTATAAGTTATTTTACATGATCGTCTTTGTGATAATTGTCATGTTATTTTTTAACATTTATGAAATCTTTGTACAGAAAAGGATAAAAATATAATTTATATTATAAAGATGTTAAATTATAAATTCAATGATGATCCTTTCTAAAAATGACAATTATCATAATCTGTATTTTTAAACATATTAGTTTATTTTTGACGCTAATGGGTAAAAACATAAATTGTAAATATGTTAAATTAAAATTTCAGTGAAGATGTACCCTAGATAAGTGACAATTGTCATAATCGTTATTTCTAAAGTTTTTTGAAATTTTTTGACGCATATAGGTAAAAATATAGATTGTAAATATGTTTAAGTAAAAATTCAGTGATAGATAAAGTGACAATTGTCAAAATCGTTATTTCTACAGTTTTTTGAAATTTTTTTGACGCACATAGGTAAAAATATAGATTGTAAATATGTTTAATTAAAAATTCGATGAAGATGTATCATAGATAAGTGACAATTGTCATAATCGTTATTTCTAAAGTTTTTTGAAATTTTTTGACGCATATAGGTAAAAATTTAGATTGTAAATACGTTTAATTTAAAATTCGATGAAGATGTATCATAGATAAGTGACAATTGTCATAATCGTTATTTCTAAAGTTTTTTGAAATTTTTTGACGCAATAGATATGTGACAATTGTCATAATCGTTATTTTTTTTTAAAGTAAATAGGTAAAAATATATATTGTAAAGATGTTAAAATAAATTCAGTGAAGATGTACCATAAAAGAGTGAAAATAAGTGATCTGCATCGGGCCTAATTTTTCAAGCCCGGCCCGAACCCAAAATTTTTTTAAAAAGTTTTGCCGGCCCGAACCTGAAATTTTTTTAAAAAAAAATTTACCGACCCAGCCTGGCCCGAATTTATAGAAATATAGAAATTAATCTTTATAATTAATCAAAATAAAAGACATATGTTATATGTAGTTTAGTTTCAATAAATAAAATCAAATTGATATAAAAAATTCAATATAAATTTAGATATATTTTAAAAAAAATATCCCGAATTTTTTTTAAAATATTAGGCCCGACTCGGCCCGTATTTTTTTTTTAAATATTAGGCCCGGCCCCAACCCGATTATTTTAAATAGGGCCGGACACGGGCCGGGCCTAATTTTGCAGATCTCTAGTGACAATTGTCATAAACGTCTTTTTTGAATTTTTTTGAAGCAAATGGGTAAAAATATATATTGTAAACATGTTAAATTAAAATTTTTGTCATAATCGTTATTTTTGAACTTTTTTGAAGGAAATGGGTAAAAATATATATTGTAAACATGTTAAATTAAAATTTCAGTGAAGATGTACCATAGAAAAGTGGCAATTGTCATAATCGTTATTTTTGAACTTTTTTGAATTTTTTTAAAGTAAATAGGTAAAAATATATATTGTAAATATGTTAAATTAAAATTTCAGTGAAGATGTACCATAGAAAGTGAGTCATAATCGTTATTTTTGATTTTTTTTAGAGTAAATCGGTAAAAATATATATTGTAAAAATGTTAAATTAAAATTTCAGTGAAGATGTACCATAGAAAAGTGAGAATTGTTATAATCGTTATTTGGAACTTTTTTGAATTTTTTCATAGAAAATAAGTAAAAATATATATTATAAACATATTATATAAAAATAAGTAAAAATATATATTATAAACATATTATATTAAAATTTCAGTGAATATGACCATAAAAAAGTGTCAATTGTCATGATCA